TTCCAAGTCTAAGATATTGAAAAATGGTCTAAGAAACTTTCGAAGCGTAAGAGATTTTTAAAAGACCTGAAGACCTGGCCGGTAGCTTTAGCATCTGTCCAAACATCGAAAAATTATGTAGTAGAACCTTTTTTTCCAAAAGTTCTTTTTCTAGTCCATCAAATTGTATTTTTTACAAGTCCAGAATCAACAAATTTTCAAGCCCAGATTTTGGAGAAATTCTATGTCAAAATCATGAAATCTTTTCTATATTTTAAAAAACATTTAAATTTTTCTAGGACTGTGAAATTAAATTCTTACATATTGTAAAATATTCTAGGTTTTCTTAATTTGTTTGTAATAGAGATCGCGAATTACTAAGTCCCAGCATTAATCAAAAATGTCCAATATCTCTAAAATGTATACCAGAATCATGCTTGGCATACGCAGTTTTGGCTCATTTGCTAACAACTTTGCACACAGTTGACGAAACATAGTTCTTTTTGAAGCAGTCGATAGAATTGAGTTTAAGCTTGTTATAGATACGTAAAAAAGTAGATTTTAATTCTAGTAATACACTGTATTTGTTTTTGCGTTGTAAAACTGAAGTGAGAAATTCTCGCTGCACATCTCGGAATTTAAGTGTAAAAATTAAAATGTTAAGCTGTACCTACTCCTTGCATATCTATAGTTAACGATGATCCTAATCTATCAATTACTTAAAAAAACTAATTTCAACAACTGAGTGAAAAGTTATTAACAAATGAGCAGTTGGTGTGTACAACTGTGCATGCCAAGCATGACCAGAATCTTACAACTATTTTCAAGATCAAGATTTTAAAACATAAACGCATGTAATATTGTCTTTCTAAGTGAGACAATTTGTCTCGTTCCAGAATAGTGATAATTTTTCTTGAACTACGATCTAGAACAGTTATCTAGGTTCCAGAGATTTGATCATTTGTCTATGTTTGAAGTTTTACAGAAGTTTCTATATTCGAGATCTTTAAAATTGCTTGTCTTAAAATTGACAATTTTTTTTTCCTTTGGTTTGTTTTCCGTCGATCTTGTTTTCTGTTCTGAGCACCAATGCTACCGACGCCAGGGAGGCAGCTCCCACACCTGGACCCTACCTATCGACTCATCAACTCATAAAACGGGGACCAACGGCTTCACTTCCCTTCCGAAGGAAGCCGTGATCAGAGATGTTATGCCTCAGAACATCCCGACGGCGCCGACTGGGATTGAACCCAGGCCTGCTGGGATGAGAGGTAATCACGCTTACCACTACACCACCGGCGCCGCTAATTGATTGACAAATTTGTCCTAGACTTTGAGCTTTTCTCTATGCACTTCAATTTTTCTCAATTTCAAGATTTCCTAATTAATGACTATGTTCAATCGTTCACATCCCGAAATTCATTCATAACCAATTCGCGTTCGGAATCTAAATTCAACTTAAATGGTTGGTTTCCCAAAAATAGAGACAGGAAAATGACTGAGTGAGGAAATGGAGGTTAGAAATTAACCTATTGAAAAATGCTGGTTTGTGAGTTTACAATATTTCTCAAAGTGGGTCGCATTCAACGACAGATCGGAACCACATCTTTCACTTCTTTCCGATCAATAAATGTCACTATTGGTCATTTTTGTCTGTTTTAATCTCACTATTTGGTCACTTTTTTCGTTATTTTAGACACTACAGCCACTACTATTGCATAAAATACCCATCACCAGCCCCGCAAAGTAGACGTATTGTAAAGCAATTGTGCTGACAAAATTATATCATTATCTCTAAAGGGCAGATTTTTTTATTTAAATAACCGGGAAAATACCGGGAATTAAGCAATGGGATTTGAATGGACACCCTGGTGAGCGACGGGTGACGCTGCTAATCACTGGACCATGAAGGCCACAAATGTTGTCGAAAGAAGGAATATTTACGGAAAAATAGGACAACGCAAACATTCCAGAAATTCTATATGTAACAGCAAAACTGGTTTATACACCACTTGTTAGATATTGAAAAGTATTGCAGAGCTTAATCATTCCGAGCAATCGGGACAAACCAGGGTCGCTGGAAGGATAACAGTAACATGTTTGCTTACCAACAAAGAATGTCGGGCAGCATGATGACAATAAATGGTCCGCACAGCAATGTAAAAAGCATGGCCGGAATACGTAATCAACGTTCCCTGTCGGATCGTCACAGCAGCGAAAACGCAATCAACGTTTACAATTAAGATTTATGAAGTTTCACACATAAGAAAGTTCAGTTCAATTCCACATTGGTTCTATGTGTGATCATTATAGATTCTTTATGCTGTTGAACTAAAATATATTCGATGTAACTTACGTATCCGAGTGTTTATTACAATATAATTTAATCTATGAGACACATGATGATCATATTTTATGTTTATTACGTTATATAAGAAGTATTTTATTATTTAAAGATGAATTGCAGGTACACATTTTCGTTTTTTTTTTCTTCGATAAAGCGAGGATTATCCTTCTTGGTCCATATTGATAATGTCGATAACTATCTTGCTAGATCGGTTAAAAATCCCACAAACACTTAACATCCTGCATCATATCCGTAAGTTCAAAAATTGAATCACCATCGGAAATTCGTTTCTCGATTGCTGCTCGATTATCATGCATAAGCCTTATGGCAATATTTTCCAACAGGGACACACTTAATGATCCATCGAGCATGGCTGTATATGATTGCTTCGAATCTTCTACACAGTTGACGATCATCCAAACTTTCGGCAGGACCTCCTTCGCCAGATAACTGCAGTTGAGTGACGTCAAAATCGTAAAAATTTGACATCTTTCCTAGTCTACAGTAAACTTCTTTGGTCCTTGTCTGGATTACAGTTCCGTGTTTCTAAAAATGATCATGAAATGAAATTCGTAAATTAACAAACTAATGCAACATTTACCTGCTTCACTGCAAATGCTCGAAAACTTGTTCTAATGGGCCGGTTATCTGTTTTCCCAGTTCAAGTATGAGAACATTCCACTCGTCCGCAGAAAAAAAAAACAGCATATTAGGAATATAAATACACCCATTTCTGTTCGTACAACTGATTTTTTTTCGAAAATCTTCCTCGAAATCTCCAATTTATCGTGCAATTGCCAACGCTTGATAAAGCGCAACCGTCATTCAACAAACCACACAGAGTTTTTCCGAGTACATCTGGTTCTGGTGGTTTCTACCGGTAGGCAAATCTTCAAGAAAAAAAAAACCTATCATGATCACCACAAATAACATGAGAAAAGCAAATCTTACCACAATCAAGTGCAAGTGTTCTGCTAAGTATCTCCCAACTTCCAGACCAGTTTCACATGAGCCAGATATCGGCCCAAGTTTTGACCGATGGGATCGCTGCACATTTGAATCGGCCGTTATGGATTCTCGATCAAGAGTTAAGTTTAAGTTTTTGTTTTACACATCCTTGTGTATCTTCGTCTTCGCTGTACACTTTGCTCCATCAGCTTCTTCTTCTTGATTAAATTATCATCCAGTTTCCAAACCATCAGCGCCCTTTACTCCATCTGCAATATCGGTTCTTGTCCAGATCGCAATCCTTCAGTTTCTCAACCGAATTTCAACCGCAAAGCAATCCCCACATTCTAGACATTTATAGAACTCTATCGGTACGGTGACGAAGTCCTTTTCCATTTTCTTCTCGTCAACCAGCTTCTCTTCCTCGTTCGGATTAACGCAGGTTCGCTGTTTAATCAGGAAACCGCCTCCACTGTCGATATATTTGGTTTCGGATATGTCGATAACGTTTCTCGCGACCGTTTCCAATATAGAAGTGCGGTTAGGTGCGCTTGGTGAGGGTTTAGGGCTTGCAACCGATTGGCTTCGATGCGACGGTGAGTCGTCTCGGGCAGCTCTCATAACACTTACAATCACATTCTTTGAAAATAAGGTTTCAGTTCGGAATGTGCTCGCATTTGTCATGGTGGCGCCACTGAACCGTTAAGCAAGTCAGCAAATTTTGAACTTATCTGTGGTCCCAGTTCGTTTTCAGGTCAAGTTAGTAGATATCAACTCTTGAAATAAGGGGGTAGCGCAACAAATCACCCTGTGTAAAAACAACTTTGCGTGCATTTGTTGTTATTTTCGTTTCTCACAATTATTCATCGTTATCGTGGATCGTAATACTAGAAATATCTACGTGTAATGTGAAAAACTCCAATAATGGATTCGGAAATGGAGGAGTGAGCGTTTTTATTTAGATTTAGTTTTGATTGTTTAATCAATGTTTGGATTTTTCAGTTCCTATGAGAGCGAAGAACATTTGGACGAGGAAGAAGAGAATGACCCAGATCCGCTGATGATGACCGAAGAGAATACGGGAATCTACAACCTTGAGCTACATCATCATGAATAACATATTAAAGGCGGTGGTAGAAAGGTGATACATTATCACGATTAAAAGCTTGTTCCAGCAAAATAAAAATCACGCAAAACATTCAAAACAAATCTCTAAAAATAGACTGAGCTTCTGTCCTGCGGATACGTTTTTCTGCTAAATTCAATCAATACTGAAGATTTCGTAGAACCGGCATCACTGACTCGCATTTCTTTTGATTTTATTCAACACAGCTGACGCGTTGACAGAACTAGGGAAAAGCAACTAGTGAAAACAAATCATGGGCGAGGGATGCTTCGGTTGCAAATCAATGTTTCGGAATGTGCAAGATAGAGGGTGCTAGTGTGCACGCTTGACGATATTTTTTGAATAATTTTCTCCTAAGAGTTATGTCTGTTTGTCTGTGCGTAAATGTTTAACAAAGATCACCGCAAGTATTGTTTATTTATTAAATCAACATTAATGTTCAAATATTCCTTACTAATTCATACCGATGTAAAAAACAGCCTTGCATTTCAAAACGCGACGTTTTCCCAACTCCATTCAGGCACAGCTACTCGCACAGCTATGTCACGAAGATCGCTTCCTTACTGAAATTGAAACCATTTTTACATAAATACCGCAAAATCATACAGCAATTGAGTTGTATTTACCCTTGCTCGTAAGCAGTGCATCCAGATTCGCAAAAGGGATTTCGAAGCACAATGTCCAACCAATCGCTGCCAATAGCGTTAACGACAGATCGCCCCAGAAGGTATGCACCGCTCGAAGGTCGCTGAAATGGCGCACCGTTCTAGTGGACGCCGTTAGCATCGTTTGAATAGGCAGATGCAGCAGATATAGGCAGTACGATAGCCTACCGAGAGGTTGCCAGATTGCCATGGACAGGACGCTGCTGACCGGACCCCCGAATCCGTTGCTGGAAGCGAATATAATCCACGCTACACCTGCAGGCCAGAGGACGTGCTTAAAGGATTCGTACAATGCGTTGAAAATTTGGGCGTTGCTTCCGGGGACCAGTTGATTGACGTAATGAGCACCGATGATGCATCCAACTAGAGCCACTAGGGAAAGGGTCCATCCCAGGATGATTTGGACCTTCGATAGACGAACAACCCTATCTTTGGTTCGGTATAGAACGAAGCCAGTTACCAGTCCGACCATCCATGAACCCATTCGTGTGTGCGTAGGCAGATAAGTGAGGTTATCTCGGGTCAAATCTGTTATTAGAATACTAGCTGGAAAGTCGTAGATCATGAACATTGCAAAAATGTAGACTACAGATGTGAGGATCAGAAGGCCGACCAGTACGAGCACTTTGCTTCCCCATTTCCATAGGGGGTAGATCAGTAGAGGTGACAGAAGAAACAACTGCATATCCACAGATAGATACCATGAGTGTCCGAGGCATATCTGGTCGGGATTTACGTAATTCTGCACGTATAATAGTGCAGGCCACCAGTACCGATTACACATATCAACTGACAGTTTCAGCGAAGTATTCCAAAGCGGTCCGGAACTGAATTTGGGTAGGATCCCTACCGTGAACAGGATCAGAGCGGCAAAAACTGGCGTTAGTCGTAGATATCGATGAAGATACATCAACGGAACGTTAAGCAACCGGTTTCGATCTAGTTCTTTCAGAAGATTCCAGCAAGTGAGCAATCCACTTAGAAGGAAGAACGTGTCCACCGAAAGAGGAGCGGCAATGATCAATGTGCTGTGGAAAGATTCCAACCACTGAATTGCAACATGTAGAATGTCCTATCGTCACTGTCGCATACTCACATCGATAGTAGCAATTGGATTTATCAACGGCGCCGACATCACCAGCATATAGCTATGACCGAGGATGATCCACATAATGGCCAACACTCGAACGCCGTGAATCGATTCGATTATGTTGGATTTTCCGTGATTGTTCTTATCTTGGAAAGGCATTTTGGAAGTTTTCATCAACCTAAACCAATTTGAATATACTGAGAAGGAAGAGAGTATGTGGTTCGGACTACGCGAGATTACATCATAACTAGTGCCAATGACTACAAAAGCTGCAATCAACGAAAAGATGGTTCTGGAAAGTAGTTCACAACTGAGATTCACCTCGGATTCACTATATTCATAGTTTTAAGGAACTTCCAACTTACAATGCCATAATTCTGCCCGTTCGAGACACTTCAGCCTCCACTTCGCATTGTATCTGCAGCTCTTTTGCACTGATTTGGTAGACCGTTTCCAAGATGGCAGCCACTGGCTCATTTAAAACTTCTCCATCGCAGAATCTTGGAAAACACATACCAACTACAGCTCCGTCGACCCTAGAACAGATTTTTAAACAGAGGTCATTCAAATAACCTCACCCAGTTTCCACCAATCTTTCACCCTCCAGTGTCGATAAAGATTCGATTGAGCTCCGATCCTTGCGCAACTACGACCATGCAGTATCGTCCCGATATCAGCCCAACGTCGGCATGTTGATGGACGTACTCCCGGCATTGATCGTAGTTTCCAAAGTCGTACTGATTTCCGGAAAACTGCCCCGACGGCCATTTGCCCCACGAATCGTACACTGCAAAACGCGTCGTGCAATTGTAACTACTGAACTTTAAATTTGAATATAGGAATCTTACATCGCAAAGCCCAAGTTTCATTTGCAATCACACCGAGCAGGACTGACTGCAGTTGCCCCCGGCAAAGGGCGTCGTTTTCTCGGGAGCTAGAATTTTGCCTCATATCCGCACTCACGGCCTTTAGTAGTATTATGATCAAACAGAACCGGATACTATTCATGGTAAAATCTCGAAAAGTCGCCAATAATGTCAATGACCTGCGAAGTACGCTTGTCAACTGAACAGTGTAGATGAATTGATGGAATTATCTGATAATGCAACCGATTTATAGGCTATCGACATTTTACTATTCTATGTGCTGATAAATAATGAATGTGACTGATAACACACCGTTGCTGGTTTTGACGATACGTATTCTTATCTGAACTAATGTATTGGGCTATCGAAGAATAAAAACAGCATTTGTACATACAGTTTACATATCACGAAACATCCCGTACAAGTGTCTTTTTATTTTAGAGAAAAAGAAAACATCAGTACAGATAGACATATTTATGTAATCAAGGCAGTAAATAGTCAAGATTTAACCACAGACAAACCGACATAATACTCGCAGGTTGTTCATCGAACACGCATTTATCGGTCAATTTAAATGTTTCTTAGTTGATAGAACCGCCACCTATGGCGCGCATAGTCAATTCTTTTTTCGTTTGACGTTTACACATTTGTTGAGTGAGCTGCCAGTCATAGTGAACTCAACAGATGGCGGTAGGGATTGAGCGCCGATGTTTTACAGTTCAATGAGTTATGTCTATTTGTCTGTGATTTAACGGTTAAATTGTTTTGGTGTTGTTTGGAAGAGTGTATATGAGGTTTAAAAAACTACTATTTTCTCAAAACACATACAATGAACGAAAATTTGGTCGAACCCAAACAAGTGCATTATCTTTTTTTCCAAGAAGATAGAGACCACACAACGGAATTAGGTCAAGGTTTGTGTTTCGATTATCATTCTTATTGTTCTAGTTTTTGGGTCAACTCTAGCGTAGATAAGAATCTGAGAGCGTTTTTTAGTTAGTAGATAATATAGCTTAAATTTCTTTTAACTTGAGGTTGAAAGCACCATCGAGCGGAAGTGGTTTAATGATGAAATAGGGCCATTATTACTATCCATATTCAAGTGGAATAGGCCACTAAAATATTCACTATCGATAATGGCCTTCAAAACAAATGCTTCATATGTTAAACCGACAGATATTGAATGTATTTTTACCTCGCAAGCCGTAAATGGCAGTTCAACAAAGATCAATTTTTCAACCTCATTCTGTGAGTGAAGATGCAGAAATGACGTAGCTTTTTAGGGTGACCAGTCATGTAGAAAAATACGCTATAAGGAGCTGGTGCTTTATCAAACGTAAACAAACGTTTATGCGGTCTTTATATCTGTGCGGATTTGCTTGCGCTAGTGGACTAGCCAACTAGCACTAATTTCAGTTGCTCCTGAAATCTCATGCTGGTAGACGCTGATACCCTGTTTAAATTATGCTGGTGAGCTTTTTTTGCTAGCAGTTGGCTTATTAGCGCTAAAGATCATCATCGAATGACACCGCTGAAAAAGCCAGCTTTTAGCAGCGGAACACTTTCGTCGCAATGTTCAGTGTCACTATTTTCAAATCAATCGATATAAGCAACATAACCGTGCATCCGGGAGGGGGGCGACTCTATCTATGATGCAGGAAAAATTGTGTTTTGCTGTGGTTAGCTGCATGTACGCTGAGTATATAAAAAGAAGATTGATGACGATTGTGAAGATTTCTTGCAAAAAGATGATGCGCGATCCAAATAGATGCGAGAAATGAAACAAGATTTTACGAAGATTGATTCGCTACCCAAGTAACATTTTATCGCAGTTTTATAGCATTCTACAAGTCTAAATCATGGTCTACAGAACCCTCATAAAACCAAAATTGTTACTTGGGTAGTGTGAGATTTGTTGAGCATCTAGAATTGAGATTTAGATGTGTCGCCCCTCTTGGACTGAAGTTCCAGCGGAATGAAAGGCCGAGTTTTTAATTGTGAAGAAAATAAATATAAACTTTATTAACACGAGATCTACACACATCGAGTTTACTTTTGCGAATGATACAAAATGGCGCACACAGCAGAAGGCTGATGCTGCGCTCTCGCTCTGCTACCGTCTCTTTCGCTATCACTGTCACTACAGGATAGCTCTTTGCATCAAGGTGTGTAGTGAAAGGTGGCATGACCGTTGTTACACCAACACTCCTCCTCAACGAACACTGCCATCCTATGACGACAATCCCAGCATCCGTGCAAACTTCATCTGTTTGACTGAACCCACCGGTTTAGTGAGTACATCAGCCACCATGTCTTCAGTTGGACAGTACTGTAACTCGATGCATCCGTCATCACACAGTTGTTTCACGAAATGTCCCCGCACCTCAATGTGCTTGGACCGACGACTCTTGCGTTCTGACGTTACGAACTGGATACAGCTTTGGTTATCCTCGATCACTTTGACAGGATCGCTCAGCTGTTCACCCATGTCCTTCAGCAAGCTCCGAAGCTAGATCAGTTCCTGACTAGCATCACTCAACGCCACATATTCGGATTCCATCGAAGACAGTGTGACGCAACTTTGCCTTCGACTAGCCCACGATACTGCTCCACCGGCATAGTGGAAGACGAATCCTGTTGTTGATCTTCTTGTACCAACGTCACCAGCCCAATCGGCATCCGAATATCCGATTAGCTTTCCAGCCGCATCGCTGTACTTCAATCTCCACTCTTTCGTTGCCTTCAAATAGCGGACAACACGTTTTGCCGCTATCCAATCCTCCGTAGGCGCACTCACTTTACGACCCAATATCGCTACGCTAGCTGCTACATCCGGCCTAGCACACACGGAAATGTAGAGAAGCGCTTCGACAATACTCCAATAATCCATCCCGTCCGACAGTTGAGGACTCTTATCTTCCGTGCTCTGGAAACCCTCTTCCATTGGCGTCTTCGCCCGCTTTGCATCACGGAGCCCAAACTTCTCCGCAACACAATCGATGTACCCTTCCACTGAAACACTGTACTTTCCATGTTCCTTCCGAATCTCTAGTCCCAAGAAGTATTTGAGCTCTCCAAGATTGGTGATTTCGAAATACTGCTTCAGCGTTTTATATACCGCTTCGATCTTCGCTTCATCTTCGCAACCAACCAAAATATCGTCCACATACACAATCAGGTATACACGTTTTCCATGAATCAGCATTGTGTACAGGCACGGATCAGCAACACTTTGCTGGAACCCCATTTCCACAAGGACACCGTGCAATCGTTGATTCCAGCATCGTGCGGACTGTTTGAGTCCGTAAATGCTCTTTCTCAGACGACACACCATGTTTTCCTTACCTTTTGCTATGTATCCAAGTGGCTGCTTCATGAAAATCTCCTCGTTCAAATCGCCGTACAAGTAGGCCGTTTTCACATCCAAATGCTTCAACGTCATTCCCTTCTTGCTAGCAACGGCTAACAGCACCCGCAGTGTGGTGTGGCTGGATACCGGTGCGAAAATCTCGTCGTAATCAACTCCGTACTTTTGGGAATATCCCTGAGCTACCAGACGAGCCTTGTGTTTGATGATGTCACCAGCTGCGTTCCTCTTCAGCTTGTACACCCAGCGACAGCCAACAGCCTTTCGCCCAGCAGGTAAGTTAGCAAGCTCCCACGTCCCATTCTGTGCGTGAGATTTCAGCTCGTCAACCATTGCCGCTTTCCAATTTTCTTTCTGTTCACAGGTCACCGCTTCCTTCAAGAAACTTGGTTCGACCACCTCCGTATCCACAGACTCCGCAGCAAAAATCTCCTCAATCAGTCTCTGAGGCGCGATACCCTTCGTTGACCTTCTCGAACACCGTGCTATTTCATCTAAAGGAAATCCATGAAACGATTGGTTTCCTTCCGAAGCACTATCGTAGAACGATCCATTCAGATCCCGACCGTCTTCTACCGATTCCATGAATTCTTCTACCGACTCCGAATTTTCTTCCGATGACGTTGAGGTCCCATCCGTTTCATCCCGAGACTCATCTCCTGATGGCAACACAAGCGGTACTTCCAGTACTCCTCCTGCTTCTAGACCCTGGATCCGAACAGCCTCTTTCGTATCGCATAGCTCCAAGAACTTTGCATCCCTGCTAATCATAATCATATCCGTTTCAGGGTTCAAGAAACGATACGCCTTACGACCGTCAGCATACCCTACGAACACCAACTTCTCAGCCTTGAAATCCAGCTTGCACCGCTTTTCCTTGGGGATATGCACGTACGCTTTCGATCCGAAGATCCTTAGATGACCGTAGGAAGGTTTCTTCTTGTTCCAGAGCTCAAACGGTGTCTTACAGACTGTAGATGACGGCAATCGATTCTGCAAATAGTTTGCAGTGCAAATCGCTTCACCCCAGTACCTCTTGTTCAACCGTGACTCGGAAAGCATACACCGCAGCATCTCAACGAGATAGCGGTTCTTCCGCTCGGCGACACCATTTTGCTGTGGTGAATACGGTGCCGTCTGCTCATGAACTACTCCACGCTCCGTGAAAAACTTCCGCAACGAACCACCCGTGTACTCGCCAGAGAGAGGCGCCAGCTAGCTCTGAAGCCGATCACGTAAACGTCAATGCGAACCAGTCATGATCTGTCACTGCGAACCGAAATTTTGATTCAATAAAGTGGGGGAAGTATTGTTAATCGGAAAAAAATCTGCGTATTGTTTTTTTTTTCAAGATAGTTTTTTTGAAATGGCTGTTAATGACGGTGCAGAATACAAATGTTTTTGGACGTTCGGCGTTTCTGTTACTTATTGTGAAGCAGGGAGAGAGTGTTATTAGTAGTTTTTACGCAAAGGATTTATTTTCCATTGAAATAGAGACAACTGTTGTATGCTAACAAACAGTCTACAAGGGTACAAAATGCATGACGTGTGTTCCATCAACGGACAAATGCTCTAAAAAAATCAAAGAAACGCATTTTCGAGATAATGAGAACCGATAACTGAGTATTTGTAGCAATTCCGTAATAATTGCGAATAATTTTTAATACAACCATGTATTAAACAACAGATACCACAAATCGTTCGCATAAAGTTCAAATCTCAGCAGTTAAGGTTGCAATTTAGATGATTAACCATTCATTATAAGGTTCTATCATGGTTTGAATTATGCGGTTTGGCGAAATTTCATTTCAGTTTCAGGGTCGTTACTGTTTCCGAAATTAGTGACACAGTTGAAGCTGGTAAAAAATTCGTGATACGATAAACCAGACGAAGAAAATCTATAGGGAACCACTAATTTATCCGTTAAACTAACCTGTGTCAAAGTGTACGTCCTGGATTCTTCGTACCAGTGTGCGGGCACTAGGAAGTACTACATATGGTAGTTTGAGCAATTGCTCGTATCCAGCTCCGCAAGCAAATCTGATTCGCAATCCTTCCGTGATAGTTTCGTTGGACCACTACTTAACTTGTTTCGCCTTCCCTGTTACAACAGAAAGCTGGTCCGGTCGAAATTTTTCTTTCAATTTCTTTGCATCATCAACTTCTCTTTTTAAAATTGAAAACTTGTTCTTCCACAAAAGCGCTTCTTTCTTCCATTTCATCGCCTTTTTTTTTAATTTTTTTTTGCATATCTAGAATATATAACGTTGGGTAGAATATTTATTGAAACAAAATCTTGTAAATCATATTTAAGTACCTGTCATAGCTTTTGATTTGCTTTTTCGTTTTGCAACAATCAGAAAATTTAATCTTGGTTGCTTTTGACTTTGTCGACGCATTCTCCGTGGCGATAATGATTTCTTGATCCGCGTTTTCAATGTCATCAAATTGAAAATCCGGCGGGATTGCTTTGAAATCAGCGTATGTGTGATCCAGAAGTGACGGGCAGGAATAGAGTGGTAAGGATGTCGATAGGATTGCTGGGTACCCGTCGTCTTCGTCGTATGTCTCGTCATCGTCATTGATCAAATAAGCACACAATGTAGGGATTGCAGTTTTGCTCAATCTGGTGCTTTTGCCAGCCTTAGCATAACAGATCGCATCAAAATGCATCTGCAAAACAGTAAATCATTTCTAATTTTTCACGTTTCATGATTATTTGCATATGTATTCTTCACGTACGTTGCATACTCTCATTGCATCTGTGACAATAAAATCAGCTCCTACATTACAAAACTCAACCCACCTTGCTTGAAGCAACCCAACAAACAATTGAGAGCTCTTATAAAACACCTGAGTTGATCAAACATTGAATAATAGCTTCCAGAGTTGTACAAGAATGTAGCTGTATTGCCATTTGGTTAAAAGCTTCAAAAGCTGCTTGGAGCACTCTTAAATGATTGTTTACGTTCAACCAACCACCAACCACAATTTTGTTGCTAAAAATAGCACAAGTGATAGGCACGTTTATATGACCATAAGGCAATGATTATTCGACTGCAAGATAAGTCACTCAAGATGAGCTTCATATACTTCTCTCATATGTTCAAAATATGTATTCAAGAATAGAGCAGATGGAAACAGAAGCGGCTGGCAATCCGGGATCATGAGTTCGAATCTTGCTTCGAGAAACCCTCGGTGGAGTAGAGGTAAATTATATATAGGTGTTATTAATAAATGCTAACATTAATTTAAGACATATATCATATAATCAACGATAACATTTCTAGATAAATTCTCTCAATTAATGATTAGAGAGATTAATTGAAAGAATATCAATCAAAGATTAAACAGATGCTGGTTACTACTTCCTCCATGATCACAGAATGTGAATTATGGCATAATTACATATTTTTTTCAATGTGCACAAATAAATTAAATTATAAAAACTGTTTAAGCAATTATTTTGGCGTACCACGACAATTGTTGAACTAATTTTAATCTGTGAATATTGTGAGTACTTACACAACGGTTATTAAGAAGTCATTAAAAAGTGCTATAAACTCTTTTCACCGCTTAATGTACAATGATTATTTAGCAGTCATAAAAGAGTGCAACAAACGTCTCTCAGGTTTACTCTCTACTAAATTTCAAAGCAGCTGTCAAGAAGTTTCTACAAACGTTGAATAAGAGCTTTCACCAAAATAATAAAGCTTGAGTTTAAATATGTATCTATAAACGTTGTATAAAAGTTGCTTCTACTCCTATAACGCGTATACATATAATGCTGTAGTTGAACAGGTTCTCCAAACCAGTGTAAACAAGAGTTTTACAGAAGTTGTAATAAACAAATTGTACAGTTATTATTCAGCATGCAGTTGAATAAAATCACAATGGAAGCGTTTCTTCAACAAGAAATTGATTTTGAGTAAACGTTTTACTGAATACGTTAGACAACACCTTTGTGTTGCAGTTGTATAGGTTCTCAAAACCAGTGTAAACAAAGGTTTTACAAAAGTTGTGGTGAACACATTGTGCAAGTATTATTCAATATGCAGCTGAACAATCAAAACGAAAGCGTTTCTTCAACTGGAAATTGTTACTTGGGAATGGATCGTTTGGAAACCGGTGAAACAACACATCCGGGTGGGTTTTCTTGTTCCGGCCGCAACGCTTCACTTGACAACGCATTTTACCTGCTGTGTATCACTTTTAACCTCCTCCTTATCACCAGAATTCACAAAATCAAACCCGTTTAATACGAAACCGATAGCTTTAAGCAATATGCAGTAAGATGCTTGCTCACAACATACAGTTCACGACAAGTTTGAACACTCCGACGGAAAAACTATATCAACAAACCGAGTGACAAACGCGCATCCTCGCTTGAATGATTCTTTCCATCAACAATTTTTTTAACAAAAAGGAAGAAGAAGTGGGCAACCAAAACAAAGCATCTGTCATTTGAGCTGGCTCCTCTCTCTTGGCTCGCCACCACCGTCAGAACGAATCTTCTTGGGATAATGCCCGAAATGATTTTTCACCAGACTGCAGAAATCCCGGATTTTCTCTTCTGCGTCCGACTTCCGACGCAACAGATGCACTACCGTGTAACGACTGTAATCGTCTACCAAAACGATGTAGAATCGATTACCACTTGGCGTTTCTTCTTCCATTGGACCGCCCAAGTCAGTGTGCACTAGATCTCCTACCGCGCTAGATTTGCTGTCCGACACTTTTGGGAACGACTCTCGAATCATCTTCCCCTCACAACACGGACCACACACCGACTGAACTTCACAAGGATCCACTTTTAACCCGTATCCCAGGTTATCACGTATTATTTTGTCTACAGCTTGCACATCGCGATGTCCGAAACGACGATGCCACAAATGACGACACAGGTCTGCATGTTTCGGATCAACCAGAAATGCCTTCTCCGGAGCTTGCTTCAAGTGGTACAGCCCTCCTTTACGCTGCCCAACTAGCACTGTATCTTCTCCTTTCAGGATATGGCACTCCGTTTTCCCAAACAGCACCCGAAAACCCAAATCTGTTATTACTCACCGACAGCAGGTTACCAGCGAGCGATGGAACATGCAGGACGTTTTCGAGCCGAACGTTCATCCTGATGCCATCTCCGTTGAAGGAGACTAGCTTACCGATACCACTTCCAGCTGACTTGATGGATTTTCCATCCGCCAGGCAGACCGCCGTTGCCTTAGATTTATCCACACCATCCAGCAACGACGCGTCACTCGTCATATGTGCTGTGGCACCTGAATCCAGGTACCAGAAACCAGTTCTATCGGCTTCACCTGCTGCCAAGCACGTTTCAAAAAAAGAATCGGATTTGATGGCCATACTCACCTTCTGACCATCCGTCTTCTCTTTTTCCCGCTTGTCCTGCGCTAATTTCCGGCAATCCCGCCGAAAATGTCCTTCCTTCTTGCAGTAATGACACAACACTTCTTTCTTCACGTAGTGCTTACTTGCATACTTCGGTTTAGCTGTGTTCATGACTAGTGCCTTTTCACACGTACTATCACTCTCACTTTCAGCACGACGTCGACCTTCGTCCAGCAGTTTACCTTTCACAAAGTCCACTGTGAGGTCTGCTTCTGGTCGACTTTCAAGTGCCACAATCAAACCGTCGTACGATCTGGGAAGACTGGACAACATCAACGCAACGAACCAGTTGTCCTTGACTTCTTCCCCCAGTGCCACCAACCGAAGCCGGAGAGCCGCCATCTCCTTCAAATGTTCCGCCATATCACCGGTTTCCGTCATTCGGATGGTAATTAACTTACGCACTACGTGGATTATGCTGGACAGAGATGCGCGCTCGTGGTAGTCCTTCAACGCATCCCACATCTCCTTCGCCGTTTGCTTCTGCATAACGTGGATCAGCTGTGTGTCTTCCAATGCCAAGCCGATAACCGCTTGCGCCTTCTCATCGTTAGAGCTCCAGGTCGCATCAGCAGCCGCTGGCTTCGGATCGGTCACCACTCTCAGCAGCTTCTCCTTCGTTAGCAGCAAACGCATTTTAAATTTCCATACCGTGTAATTACCGTCGTTCAACTTCTCGATCATCACTTTCATGTCCACCATCTTGTTTTCCACAAGCAAAACCCGGTCACTTGCAAAGTTACGATCCGATTCGTACGACTCACAACACCGGTGAAAAAATCCACTACCGTTCCGCGAACAACAAAACTCAAGCACTTCCAACGATAACTGGGCCCATAACCTCTTGGACTGAAGTTCCAGCGGAATGAAAGGCCGAGTTTTTAATTGTGAAGAAAATAAATATAAACTTTATTAACACGAGATCTACACACATCGAGTTTACTTTTGCGAATGATACAAAATGGCGCACACAGCAGAAGGCTGATGCTGCGCTCTCGATCTGCTGCCGTCTCTTTCGCCATCACTGTCACTACAGGATAGCTCTTTGCATCAAGGTGTGTAGTGAAAGGTGGCATGACCGTTGTTACACCAACAGCCCCCTCGTGCATCCGCGTGTATACTGGTTTGTTGCCAAGTATCCATCGTTGATCACCGCAGCTGATTTAGATCTCGGAAGAAATCTAGCGATTTCAACCGCAGCAGTTTGTCCCGGTGATTTCAAATACCATTAGATGCACTTCGATTTTGTCTTTGCCGAGTTCTTTGCCAAGCATCTGCCACGGACGGAGGAACTCGATCGCTTTCTGAAGGGTCACTTCAGTTTGTACGGTATCAGCAAGCAAACAAATTTGGTCTGGTGACTGGTACGAAGCCGGCGCCGGTGGTGTAGTGGTAAGCGTGACTGCTTTCTAACACCCCAATTGGTCTGGGTTCAATCCCAGCCGAGGTCGGTGGGATTTTTCTGAGGCATAAAAATCTCTGGTCACGTCTTCCTTCGGAAGGGAAGTAAAGCCGTTGGTCCCGGCCCATGTGTGTTGTGAATGGGTGCGCAGGTGTGGAAGCTGCCTTCCTGCACATTCGATTGCCGTCAATGGATGGCAATCGATGTCCGTCGGTGATTGGCATTAGATTGCGGAACAGAGAACGACGTTAAATAAAGGAAAGAAGAAGAAGAAGAAGACTGGTACCAAAGAGGTAACTCTAAGACCAGAAGGTCCCGAAGAAACGTACTCAACTTTATGGCTCAGCTCTGGTACTCTCTTCGGTCCCAAGCTAATCGATGCAACCCTCGAAATATAGGAAAAACTACGAACCCCTCATTTTATCTGTCAAATTTTTATAGCGAATCAAAACAAACAAAGTGTAGTACTTGATTAGAATGGGGTACGTTAATCGTTTGCTTGGGACCAATAGGCTAGTCAAGTAGTTAGCCAATTTAAAATCGTTAGTTTCCACCGGTTTCTGGTACTGCGGGGAAAGCTGCGGCACACTGAGAAACAAGTAGACACAACATAAGTGCTGGCATACGTGTGTATATATAGTGACCACTAGAGTGGTTCAAAATATAGATTTTGTCCACCAAGTTTAATCGATTTCAAATCAGGTCCTGGTATTTCCTCAAAATTTTAGCTCAGTTGGACTAGCCTATTGGTCCCAAGCAAATAGATTAACGTATCCCATTCTAGACGAAATTCTTGTACTACACTATGTTTGTTTTGATTCGCTTTGAAAGTTTGACAGATAAAATGAGGGGTTCATGGATTTTCCTATGTCTCGAGGGGTGCATCGATTAGCTTGGGATTGAAGATAGTACCAGAGCTGAGCCAAAAAGTTGAGCACGTTTCTTCGCGACCTTCTGGTCTTAGAGTTACCGTGTTTTCCTTCGAACCGTATTTTTCACACATTTTTTTTTGTATGGAAAAACGGTTCAAACGTTAACGAGAATATGGGAGATTATAAAAAAAAATGCTGCAGATTTGCATCTGTATTCATTTTGATCCGATTAAATATTTTTCGAGAAATTTTCTCTCCCTCGTCGCGTAATGCCTCCGCCTACATTTTTTTTATACGGACATCACCACGGTTTTTGTAGAAGGTAGGACTTACGTAACTCTCACCTTGTACAAAAAAATCGGCATCACTGCTCCGAAACCGTTGTCCTGTTCCATAAACAGCTGTCATTCCAGCGAAATCCAACCTCAAAAAAGTGAATTTCAAAACGGTTTGTTTACGTTAGTCGCTCTCATCACAATCGTCGGTTCCATCGGCGGAAAAAAGCCTTCTCACAAATGTATCCACTTTCATAACAATCCTCGCCGAAACGAAAATGATTAAACTAGTGCTGTTGGTTGTTGTATTTGCGAATTTCCGAGCGGTACCGATTTCGGCTGCGACTGGTAGGTAAATCCCATTTCACCCGGAACGATTATAATTCCTATCGCTTTGCTTTGCAGTTAACTACCTGGAGCCGGATGGCGTCATCATGTACAAGCCGGACCGGTCCACCATCTACCGGCCGGGTCTGCGGACGTACTGCTACCGCGGCAGGGAAAAGCAACTGCTGCACATGTTCCAGACGGTGATTCTGAACTTTGAGTGCGATCATGATGACTTTAGCCAGTACGAGGGAGGTTCCCCGCAGGAAGTCCGAGCGCATCACGAGACGGAACAGAGCTTGTTTTCGTTCAATCTGCTCTCGAACAGCCGTAAGCGGGTCATCAAGATGGATCCATTCAATCAGAGCTGCATCGGGGTGGTGTCCGGAGAGGAGTATACGGTTCGGCTGAATCTGATTCGGATCGACTTTTGGCGAATGATCCTGCTGGCGGCGGGGGTGTTTGTGTTCCTTTCGTCGGCCAAGTTGAGTGATAACTCTCTGTTCTATTACATCTGCGGTGTTTGCTTGGGCGTGTTTGCGAGTTTCCTGGTGGTGGTTTACTTGGCCAGTAAGCTGTTCCCCCGGAAGCCGATGATGTACGGTGTGATGCTGGGGGGATGGACGTTGGGCATATACTTTGCCCAGATGTTACTGGAGAATCTGCGGCTGATTTTTGTGACGTACCAGGTGTACGTGTTCTGGTACATTTTGACGACGGGATTCATCAGCTTCGTGATTTGCTACCGGATGGGACCACCGAAGAATCAGCGCAGCAAGAATCTAATCATGTGGAGTCTGCAGTTGGCTGCCTTGGGGTCAATCTTTTTCTCCTCTGCCTATCGGGAAGCGACCACCGGACTGTGCATTGCGTTGATGCTGTTCTACTATTTTCCGAGAACTGTACTGCTCAGGATCAAATCATTCTACCGGAGACGATTTCCCACGAAAAGGCGATTCCTGACCAACGAAGAATACTACGAACAGGGAGTTCGGGAAACGACCCAAGCGCTGGACGAATTGCGAGCGTACTGCAGCAGCCCCAACTGTAAACAGTGGAGTACTGTGCTGAAGCTGCGGGACCCGTCCCGATTTGCTTCCTTCATCGAAGGTTCCTCGCATTTGGTGGACGACGAAATCCTCGAGTACGAAACTTCGAATGCCCACCTGGACATAAGCGATGACGAGGAGGAGGACAGTGGCCAAAACGGTCAGGATGATTCCCCGTTGGTTCTAGCGGATGTCTCCGACGACGAAGAAGAAGCGGATCGACCGCAAGCTCGGGTGACGCCTTCACGAGGTAATTACCGGAAGTTTGCTCAACGGTCGCTTCAGAATGGGGGAAGCTTTGCCAGCACCAGCACCCCGACCAATGTGACAACAGCGAGGGTACTGAATGGGAATCGTCGTAGTAGCCGCAGTCGGAGCAAGCAACCTGCACCGCCACCGTTGTCCACTCCCCCGCAGGATGATTTCGAGCTTAGCGAAGATGAGGATTGATAGACACCACCTAACGGTTATTTATTGGAACTATTTTTGTGTTCTTTTTTTTTTGTAAATAAGTATTCGCTGTCCCATCTTTTCGCTCAATTCGATCATCCTTATCATTATCCTTCTTAACGATAGAATAACCGTAGGGAGTAGACATAAGGGAAATCATTAACATTGATTTTGAATATTAGCTGTGCGTTCTCTAATAACATTGATTTAGCTTAGAGGAACCCTTATGAAAAGTGAAAAAATAATAACTAATAACAATACACACTCTTTTTGGAATAGAGTAAGTAGATCGTTTGTAAAATAATACTTGTGTTTTGAGGATAGGTTTGAATGTTATCCGAAAGTCCAGAGATTAACTTGTTGACCCTTTCTAAGGTCGCGGAAAGTAAGCAAGGAATCAACTCGCACTACTACAAAACTCAAAGTGCACAGCCGGACCGTACCGGACATCAAGGAGCTTTTCTGACTGTTGGTTGATCGAATAATCAAGATTTATCGGTATAGTTTTTAGCATCATTGACTGACCCAAGTAACAACAAGCCAGCTTCCATGCAAGCACCGTAAGTTAAACTCCGTACCGTTGAACCGTATATACTCTTTAAATCAGTCATTACGAAGCATGAGTATCTGCTAGAAAAGCCTATAGGTAGGATATAGAGATTAGCCCAAAAACACAGTTTTATCTGATAATTTCCCTGGTGGACTGGTCAAGCACAGCGAACCAAATTCTAGTGCTGAGATTTCCGATAGTTGGTTTTCGAAGCAGTATATACTGGTGAATGCACGTACCGTTGGATTGCTGCTTCCTTCGCAAATCTGCGGATGTACGTCGGAGCCGCAGTCAACAGTTGTCTGTGGGTTTCATGTTGGAGGATGGGCCGATCCAAAGCAAGAACTAAGCCAACTAGTTCGTGATTTCATCACATTGGACAACATCGGCGTACTACACCCTTCTGTTCCGCTGGAATCCGAAGAAGACAAGCGAGCAAGGGTGCTTCTGGAATCTACTACCCGAAGAGTCGACGGAGGTTTCGAAACGGGTTTGCTTTGGAAGTGGGACAACTTGCTGTTTCTAAGCAGCTATAGAATGGCGTACAAACGAATGTGCTCACTCGAGAGGCGCCTCAATAAATATCCTGTTCTGTATGATCGAGTTCGGCAGCTGATTCGGGACTGCGAAGCGAAGGGGTATGCGCACAAGGCTACGGATTATGAATTGTCAACTACCGATCCTGATCAATGCTGGTACTTGCCACTGGGCATTGTCCTGAACCCGAAGAAACCGAACAAGTTGAGGATGATTTGGGATGCAGGTAGCTGCTACGGTCGATGGTGTTTCACTCTACTCGGCATTACTGAAGGGTTCGGATTTCCTAACATTTCTTCCGTCGGTAATTGGCAACTTTCGACTGTACCGTTTTGCTCTAACCGGCGACATTAAGGAAATGTTCCATCGTTTCTTCATGCGGATTCAAGATCGTCAGTTTCTGATATTCCTGTTCAGAGACCGTTCAGATCATGATCCTGTGACTATCTTCGGGGCTTCGTGCTCGATACACGAAAAACTTGAACGCAAAAGAGTTCGAAGCGGATGATTACCTGAATAGTTTCGGAACTGTGTAGAAAGCAGTGAATATTGGCAGCGAGGTCAAGAAAATTCACGCCAAAAGAGGGTTTGAGACCCGTAACTTCTTGTCCAACGATACAGCGATTGCAGCACAAGTGGGAGATGAATCAACGGCTGCGGAGAAGGATATTCGAGCGGAAAAAGATGAACTAATCGAGTCAGTATTAGGCATGAAATGGATACCGAGCAGTGACACCTTTACCTATACGGTTTCCTTGTGAGACAACCTAAAGCTTGTTCCGGAGGAGTCCCATATCCCAACGAAACGAGCAGTCTTATGCACAGTAATGAGCTTCTCCGACCCAATTGGATAAATTGCGTTTGTCGTGATCCACGGAAGAATACTGATGCAGAATATATGGGCGGCAGGTATGGGATGGGATGATCAAATTAACGAGAAGCTGAGATTGCAGTGGAGGGACTGGTTCAATCTCGTTCCAAACCTGGACACTCTGCAAATCCCGAGACGTTGTTGAGGAAACGTATTCATCTGTGCAAGTCCACGTAGTCGTAGACGCAATCAGATCTGCATATGCATGTGCTGCGTATTTCCGGGTCGAAACTCCACAAGGTCCTGAGGCTAGTCTTGTAGCAGCGAGATCAAAAGTAGCTCCGTTGAAGATGCTGACGGTTTCACGACTCGAACTTCAAGCAGCCCCGTGTAACGAATCGTGTACTATGGTCAGATTCCAGCACCGTTCTTGCATGGATTAGGTCAGACCAACACCGTTATCATCGATACGTCAGCGAATGGAGGAAGATTTTAAACGTTCTGTTCCATAGGTTCAATACAATATTTTAAATTTGCACCTTGTGATCGAGCGTGAAACGATACGACCATGCTTAACGGTTGACTGCTCAATAAGGCGTGCATGGCCGCGGCAAAATGGTGACACGGAGTCACGATGGAATGAGCTGAAGAGTTATGCGATGCTTAAAGAACGGCCATCGTTCACTTTATCTCAGGCGAGCGTGTAGACCAAAAGTGTCTGTGGAGTATATTTTAACAGAATACTTAGTGCGAGTACTGAATCAAGGTGAAGTGTAAATCCCCAATTCAGCTGATTCAGATTTTTTTTTCAACCAATCAAGGACCGCCATTGCACGCTACGGTCTAGGTGGCATTTAGTTACCTTGACCTAAACGTAAAAAGGACATCGTTCTCGGGCTGAAGGCCCTAAACGCCAAGGAGAATTTCCCTTCCCGGATCGACAGAGGGCGGCCATGCCGTCGTCGACCGGCTTCGTCAGAAAGAAGCGCCTGTGCATCGGGAACATCTCTAAAACCCCCTATACCTGCCCCGGTAAAACCAACCCGCCATCGCACTACAGCCGACGTACGGTCAGCCTTGGTTCATCCGCCATTACCGGAATTGTACCGGAATTTCATCAATCGGTGGTACCGCCATCTTGCCGACAAGATCGGCCTTTCATCGTCCGTCATCGACAAAATCATTCCGGATCGCAGATTCGCAGCGAGCGTTCACTGGACTTTGAGACTCAGTTCAGAACATTAGTTTCAAGATTGGATCGTTATTGAACGTCCCGAGTAGCACATTTCCGTCACAAAAAGTTGCAGCAACTTGTTAACGACTAAAATAAGTTGTATAGAAATGTTTACAACCAATTTGTGACAAGCGTGCTACTAGGGGTATCGGATGAAGCAACCAAATAGGGTTTCGGTCCAAATATCAGCTCTGACAGCCGGAAGAATCTTGGCCAGGCAGTGATGAACCGATAAATGCCACCGAAGAAGAGCTAATTGCTTGCACCGTGCATCGTCCTGTATCGGAGCCACTGATTGGTACAAATAGGTTCAGCAAGTGAAATAAGCTCCACAGAACTATGGCGTATGAGCATCGATTCCCTTATAATATTCAGCGCTCGCAGCTGAGTAAAGTGCTGGTTCAAGGAGTTCAAACACAGGACGAATTGATACGTGCTGAAATGTCGCTGTGGAAACAAGCATCGGAAATAGTCGTTCTTGAGGTGACGATAGGAGAACCGGAAGCTCGACATGGAATCCTGTCGAAGTCCAGTTCAATGTACATTGTACAAGCTGTGGCCGTTCATGGACAAAAATGGAGTGATACGCAAACGTAATCGATTGGGGAATGCCGAATGGATACCGTACGGAACCAAATACCTGGTAATTCTACCCAGCAAGCATCCAATCACCTTTCTCCTCGTCCATCGACGTTTCCGCCACGGCAATCGTGAAAGTTTCAACAGTTGTCAACGAGATGAGGCAACTTTACGAAATTCCAAAACTGAGGTCGGTGGTTTCGAAAGTTTCGGAGACCTGTGTCTGGTGTAGAGTATAGTCGCCATATTCATAGTCTGGTGGATAGAATTTCGATCTATCAAAAAGCGGAACCAATTCAAAATATATTAGACCAACAATTTGGAAAGGTACTATCAACATTTATAAACAAAACCAATTAACCACTTCATTCGAGCAGTTAAAATGACGTTTACTACCACTCGAACTTTGAAATAAAACATTATTTTGAGATTTTTTCTTCTAGAACCACTAGAAAAGTAGCCATCATTTGTGCGTTTCATAAAAAAATAGAAATTATTTGGTCCAGTTTTGTGTAATCGCTGGTAGAAGGTCACGCCAAAACTGCTTGACAAAGTCGTCAATCGAACGCAAATTACCAGCATCATCGGATAGGGGAAACTTTCCTCAACCCAAAGATGGTGTTAGTTTGCGTAGGCGAGCCTTGAGTCACGAGAAAAGGGTTTCCGAAGTTTTGTTTGCAATAGCTGATGTGCACTTTTCTGTTGTTGGTCGTGATTTCAGTACTAACATCAGTACTAAATTTTGCTCGATTGATTCCGCTATTTGACAGCTCAATTGGTTCCCGAGATTCTATCCGCCAGACTATGAATATAGCGACTATAGTGTAGAATTGTTCGTGCTTGTCCACGCCCACCACCCATGGCAACACTGCCGAAGGTCAGGTTAACTCCGTATGTACGGCCGTCCACATACGTAGCTACTAAAGAGCCTAAATTTAATAAGAGGTGTCATGTCAAAATTGGAACAGTCGATTGTCTGTCAAAGTCATAGGAAAAGTCATTCCAATCGAGCAGAAGACCTGTCAAATGGAGAAGATGTCGTCTCTTTATAAATTCAGGCTCTTTAGTAGCTACGTAGGCGCAGCAAGGTGTATTCAGATCTAAGCGATATTTCACGCGCGGAGACAGATTTTGCGAAGGTACGAGAGGGAGAAAAGTACTAGTTGTCTCTCTCATTCCAACGCAAATTTTGCTCCGCTCCGCTAATGTACGCTTAGATCTGAATACACTTTAAACGGTGGATAGCTCTGTTCACCTGGAGCTTGTTCACAGTCTATCGAAGGAATCCTGCTTCATGCCTGTAAGAAGATTAGTATCACGACGGGGTGCACCGGCTGAGTTATTTAGCGACAACGGGACGAATTTTCACGGGGCGAACAATCAGCTGAAAAGGGAGATGGAGGAACGCAACAATCATCTGGCTACAACCTTCACCAACACTACGACTCGTTGGTCGTTGAACCCGCCTGGCGCACCACACATGGGTGGTGCGTGGGCAGCGTTGCCAGGTTGCCAGATTTATCTGGCATAGCCAGAGAAATTTAAGCTCTGCCAGACAGATTTTTTGAGAAATCTGGCAGCTTCCTATGTTAATTTGCTGTGCCAGGTTTTTGCCAGACATTTTTTCGGGTTTTGCCAGATTTTTTCAAAATAAGCCTGGCATCTCTGTGCGTGGGAACGAATGGTTCGCTCAGTAAAGGCAGCAATTGGAACCATTTTGAAAGCGCAACGACAGCCGGATGACGAGGTTTTGGAGAAAGTGATGATTAAAGGTGTATTCAGATCTAAGCGATATTTCACGCGCGGAGAGAGATTTTGCGAAGGTACGAGAGGGAGAACTGTACTAGTTGTCTCTTTCATTCCAACGCAAATTTTGCTCCGCTCCGCTAATGTACGCTTAGATCTGAATACACCTTAAAGCGCAGGCGATGATAAACACTAGACCGCTGACATACATTTCGTTAGAGTCAGCTGATTAGGCAGCTTTGACCCCTAACCATTTTCTGTTGGGGAGCTCAAGCGGGGTGGAACAACTTCCGACGATGCCCATGGCTTATTGAACTGTTTGAACCAGCCCAGTGGCAGGCGCGTAGGCAACATGTTATACAGTGACAGCGGGCCCAGCACAGCAAAATAAATGATTTGAGCCCGGGACATGCTGCCTACTGTCAAACGCTGCTGTTGGTATAGGCCTTTTCACTGGCCTGGTTTGAACAGTAGATGGAAACTTGCCCAGTACTTGATGGATGGAATATGGAAGCGGTGGATTAAGGAGTACTTGCCGGTGATTTCGAGACGGTCAAAGTGGTTCGAGGACGTGAAGGAGATAGTAGAAGAAGATCTGGTGCTCATCGTGGACAATGCGGTATGGAATCAGTGGATCAGAGGAAAGGTGGATAAGATCATACTAGGAAAGGATGGACGGGTCCGGTAAGCGTGGGTGCAGACGGAGAATGGAACATTACGGAGACCAGTGTTGAAGTTGGCGTTACTCGACGTTGAAGATGGTGGTATAACGGAAGCCGACCACAATGGTTTACGGGCGGGGGATGTGACGACGAGTACCCCTCGCCGCGTAATGATGGCTAGTTGTAGGTTCCACAGGGTAGCTACGCGTGTCGACCACCGGCACCGAATCCCTCCGGGATGAAGAAACGTCATCACAACAGAAAAACAGATGTACAAGGGAAGACGAAAATTGTAAACACTGATTCTAGTTGGAGTTTAATTCGTCGTTGTTGGCCGTTTACGATTTTCGGGCATAAATCAGAATTAAGTCACCGACAAACCGACATGAAACTTAAACTTAACTCTTGATCGAGAATCCATTACGGCGGATTCAAATGTGCAGCGATCCCATCTGTCAAAACCATAGAAATTTGCTATCTAGATAAAAATAATTTTCCCGGAATAGATTAGTCACGAACCAACTCATACATTTTGTATGCGTGTTTATGGCTAGGATACACATTTTTGTGCTTTGTCATTGGCAGATGTCATTTTTGTGCTTTGATCAGAAATTTGATGATACTTTGCATGGTCTTTCATGTCGGTTTGTCGGTGATTAAGTGTCATGTCGGTTTTCGGTTACAAAAAAAATGGTTTGTATTTGAATAATGCATTTAACAGGTATATTGTCTTCGGAAGAAATGTTCCTAACAATATTTTTAAACGATCTATGGAAGTCAAATATAACCCCTCATACTAAATACTTGCCTAAATTGATGAGAAAAGTTAGCAACCACTATGATTGTGGTCCTAAAATTGAACCTAGAAATTGGTTTTCAGAAAATTTAAACAATAAATCAATCTTGTAAAAAATGCTAGTTATACCAATTTTAGTTCTTTTATTTTGCACGGAAGAGTTTTTTCGATTGAGCTTTGTAAAAAAATCGATGAAGTGAGTAATTCATGCATAAAATGCATATTCGTAATCTGCATTAAAAATGGAGCCCAAACCCAAAATTTCATCAATTTTGGTACACTGAAACTATTTCAAATAAGTACGATTACATGTGCAAAAAATCACCTTATTAGCGCCCTTCGGTGTCACTTTGTATGGGAGCGAGCTGTCAGTTTGTTAGTGTCAAACAGTGAAGTTATTATTTTGCTTGAAATCTTGATTTAAAAATCGAGATGAAAGTGTGTGGGTTCGAAAAAAATATCGCTGTCTCAGAAAACGAAGTTCTTTCAGATGATGTATAAAACAATGATACATTTTTCAAAATTAAAGAACCAATTCCAGCTCTATCTAGAGCTGTTCATATGGATAAAACCTATCTTGAGGTAAAGAGTTTAGACCTACGGAATGATCCCGTCTTCGGCAAATACCTGTATTATGGTAAAGAATTCAGCTTATAATTCACTCACCAGGCAGCGCTAGTGTGACATTCATTTAACATTGTTTGCTCAAACCCTGGGTTCAAATTAAAAAGTGTGCACATTAAAACCGGTCAGATTATCGGGGGTTCACGGTAAACGTCAAAGATATTTCAGTTAAATATCCCAGTGAGTGCTTGAGCGGATTGACACAAGTTCCCTACACTAATTGATTAATTATGTAACGATACTACAGGATCATAATAAAAGTTACATGACATTTATAGCGGTAAGCTCCAACTCAGATTATCTTTTATTTCCGTCCCTGTTCGGAAGATCTGCTAAATGTTTGCTTAGATTCGTGTTGATTAAATCCGATGTCGACATCAAAGCAGCCGGACATTCTTGATCGAGATTTAATCCGAAGAGCTTACCACCATTAGAGCACCGACAAACCGACATGAATGATCATACAAATTACAAAGAAATTTCTGATCAAAGCACAAAACTGACATCTTACGCCGTGTTTGCGTAATATTTATCCTACACAGCAAAAAAAAATGTAATATCGATCAATGTAATGAAATAATGATGTAATCAGGCATGGACAATCATTTACATTCATTTCATGCATTCATTTACATTCATTTGCCTCTAACTTTTTTCATCAACAGCATTCCACAAAATGATGTATGAAGCTTTAGTAGGTTTTGTTATTAGCTACAACTTTTACCTGTAATTAAAATCTGTATCTCTTATGCATCACGAATTAGAGTGGGCAGAACTCGTTACTGTTTTTCAGTGAATTCACTGAAAAACAGTAGTGGATTCTGTTTGCTCTGGTTCGTCATGCATAAGAGATACGGATTTGAGTTCTTAACAAAAGTTGTAGCTAATAACAAAATCTACAAAAGATCTATACATCATTTTGCGGAATTCTTTTGATGAAAAAAGTTAGGGGCAAATGAATGTAAATGAATGCACGAAATGAATGCAAATGATTTTCCATGCCTGGATGTAATAGCAAAAAGCAGATACAATATTACATCAATGGATGTAATTTTGTTCGCAAAGTCGATGTACATCGATGTACACAACCGATGGATTGACCTGGTTGCAGCAGTTTGGATGTAATATTCAACAACTTTTTTTTTCTGTGTACACTCAAAGATAAATTAAATCAAAAAAGCTTGAAAAGTATGCAGATTTCCGCTTCACCTTATTGAGTCCGAGCCATGATAACTTCGGCAGTAGTCATGCATGATTAAATTCGATTACACGATTACATTTTCAACCTAACATGCATTTACCCAAATCTGGGTAAACGTACCTGCGACAGAAACTGGGTAACGGTTACTCAGATGTTGACATTTGATAAAAGGGTAAACTTTAACCTTTTTAATAGAAATTAGATGATGTGACCGCTGCAGTAGCTTTATCAAACATAACCTCACACGACTAGCTCCTCTAGCCTATTATTGATTGCTGAGGTCGTATTGTCGGAAAAATATAAACTACGGAAAACGACGTTGAAATACCCTCGGAAATACCCAAAAAACGATACCGTTACAAATGCTAACCATTCATTGAGATTCAATTTTAAATACGATCTATAAATTAGGAACTACAACAAACATTTGGCATCGATAAAAGCGTTACAGAATGTCTCGATAACTTAGAATTAGGAGAATGTTCAAAGTCCAGAAACTAAAAATATACTTACTAACTTTAGCTGCTGGTAGCATTCTCCATGACAACAGATCCATGTCTGTACATTTTTTAGCATCAGATTTATATATTTTGAGCATTAAAACTTTCACTGGCAGCGCAACAATCTCCCTTTCATACCTGCACCATTTTAAACTTTGGGAAAATTTCGATTAGAATTATTTACCCAGAATCTGGGTGGATTCTACTCCTCAGAACAAAACTGGTTAACCCAGATTTTGACAACTCCTTACTTGATACAAGAATGGGTGCCGTCTACCCAGTCACTGGGTAGATTCAGAATAGCGTGTAAGCTAATCTGGCAGCTAAAATTGTTTGTTGGGATTGCCCCTTTTAAAACATAAACCTCCACATAAATGTCAAATCTCGCTTTCCGACAGGCCGCGTGCAGTTTTTGGTCGTTTACTTCTCTCGTTCTGTCTCTCTCTGCTCCCTGATGAGATTCGCGAATCAAAATTCTCTCGCTCTCTCGTGCTTTTTTGATGCAGATTCTTTTCTCTCTTCTCTTTCGACTGCTTCCAGCTGACACTGTGCTGTGTGTAGAGCGAGGCGACTGGCGACGAGGATGACGGAAGATTGTGGGCTGCAGCCAGGGATGCCAGGTTTATTTTGAAAAAATCTGGCAAAACCCGAAAAAAAAGTCTGGCAAAAATCTGGCACAGCAAATTAACATAGGGAATCTGCCAGACTTCTCAACAACTTTGTCTGTTGTAATTCAACCTGCTGGCAACCTGGCAACGCTGGCTGCAGCAAGCAAGCAACGGCTGCAACAGTAGAAGCACCAAAAGTTGCTCTCCGTTCGATATTGAACCGACCGACCGACGGACCAACCGAGAGTTTCGTGAGTCAGTCAGAATCGAACGTTGTTCGCAGTTGGACGCGCACGCAGCACCAATAGGAATATTATTACACCATACTGTAGTTACAAGTTCTTAGTTAGAATACTAGAAGTGTTTGTCGTACTGTTAGTAGAAACGAAAGGTTCTAATAAGAAGAAATTAATACGGTTCTAGCGCCAAACAGTAGCGAAAATAATATTCTCCGCGGGCGGGCGTGGTGTTAAAACTGTTTTTTTTTTAAGAAGATTTGTGTACGAAAAAGTTACTGTTCACACGGAGTGCAAGTTGGTCCTAGGTGAAAAAGGATCTGCCTCTCCCTGGTCAGGATTGTGTGCTTTTCCCGTGTCAGTTTCTGACAGTGACAGGGAAATCAACAGACAATCGGAGCTCCCAAGTGTTTCTGTGTGCGTTCGTTTGTCTGTGAAAGGGTTTTGTGAATGTGAAAGGCCCTCTGGCGGTGCTGCTGCAACCAGAAATAATTCAGCAAAGAGCACCACACTGAAGAAGAGGAAACGCAACAGCAGCAGCAGCTAGAAGAAGAAAGCAAGAGCGAGACACGACGAAGTCTACATCCGGTCTGCTCGAACGAACGGACGGACGGACGGATCTGTATCGAACGAGTGATATTGTTTTCGGGAATTGGCGAAAATTTATCATCCAGTCCTGCACGGGTTTTTTTTTTTATCAGTGTTCATCCCCGGAGCTGTGAAACAAACAAGATAAGATATTCCTCTATTCCGGAGTGGTGTGTAGTGCACTTTCGAGATAAAGGTGTGAATTTTGCAGTCACACAAAACAGCAACAGTCTGCTCCCACTGGGGTCTTTAAGTGTGTGCGTGTTTGCACAAATACCCGCATAGAAGAGCTTAGAAAAAAAGTCATAAAATAATATACATACACGCGACAGCCGCAGCAGGCCAGGTTCCTCCAACAAAAAGCAAAGAGACTGCTGCGAAAGAAACGGGCCGGAGAAAAAGAAACGATCACAGGCGCGGGCTTGTGTGAGTGTTGCAAGGGGAAAAAAGCACCAACAGCAACAGCAGAAGACAAGAGAGAAGGCAAGGCAGGATTGTTTTCGATTTTGACGAAAAGCAGCAAAAGAAAAAAAAAGATCGCGATCAAAATCTGCAATTTGCAAACATTTGCGCGCAGCTCCCGAAAAAGGTTCCGAATTTGTTTCAGTGTACGGCATTGCCCGTATGTCCAATGTTTCCCCTCCTGAGGCAGAGTCACGGTAAAGTGTACGACAACGACGGCGACGACGACCAGTGTGTTTACATTGAAGCTTGCCTTGGAAATTAACATAAGAGTCGCTATCTATCGCAGAAGTCAGAGTTGTGTGTAGAATTATCGAAAAATATACATCCCTACCGAGTAGCAGCCGTGTAAAGTTAGAGGTCATAGGCGAGTTTTTTTTTCTGTTGAAACCAAGTGCCAATATCTAGAACTAGATTTTAGAGGAAAATACCAAACGGCGCCAAAGTGATTTGTTGAATCAGTGTGTGCAGTGTGTGTGTAACAAATAGCTAATTAGTGTGTAAATAAATCGGAAAAAAAAGAGTAGTAGACGCAGATATGTTACTACCGGAAGGTTTTCGACACGTCGGAGATGGCCGGCTGGACGTGGACGAGTGCCGACTGCAGCAGCTGCGGGTCCAGCAGGACTTGGCCGAGATCTACGACATCGAGGAGAGCTGGTTTGCAAAGTGAGTAGCGGGGAATTATTGCGGTTACAGGTTGTGGGATTGTGTGAATGCTTTACTGAAAAAAAAAACCAACTTCCCAAAAGTCTTCATTATGTTCCTTCGAAAACCATAAATTTTCTACGACCATTTTTGTTTCGAAATCCTCTGATTTTTCGTTAAAAATTACTCAATGTACTTGAAGAAGACTTTCTAACGTTTGTTGGTCTTAATTTCTTATGGAAGCCGTTTGAACTTTATTTGAAAGATTTCAAATCTTCTTCTGGAAGTCCTTTGAAGTTCTTCTAGAAGCCTTCCGAACTCGCTTTATAAGATCACTGTTCTGTCCTCTTTGAACCTTACTTGAAAGCCTTCTGGACTTTCTGAAAGCCATTCAGAGTTCTTCTGAAAGTCTTCCGAATTTACCTCACTATGGAAGAAGTCCTGTGAATCATCGTTACTTGCGTGCGCAGCAAGAAGATGTCCGACGTGGAACTCTGGAACGCCATCCTGCAGCTAACGAATCTCATCACGGGGCAGCAGTAGCAGAAAATTGAAAATCGGGGAAATCCGATTGCTGGCAGTGAGGAGATTATTGAGTCCTTGGCAAGCGGGATCCAGGATTTCCAGTACGATCCGGACGGAGGAGTTTTCTCCGATGGCTGGTATGGGAGGTACATGGATATTTTGACGTAGGACTACGTCTTTGATTTCTATATGGGGGTACACTTTGTGAAAACCGAAAATGGAACATGTAACAAATTAAGAAAGATTTTGAACGTCAATAACTCAGCTGCCCCTGGTCCAATTTCAATAATTTTATCACCAATCGATCAGAAATATGGCTACGCATCGATAACATTGCTTCCGAATATTGGTTTTCGACAAGAAACTATTGAAAAACTGGTAAATGTCCAGCATTGTTCAAAAGCGTCGAATTAACTAACAAATCCACCAATTACATACATGCATATGCTGCTTCCCCAGCACAGTCGTCAGAGAGTAGTAAGTAGACGAAACAAGTCGAAGTGGCATTCGCCTCCGATTCTCGGGCGCGTGCGAATAGGGAGGATGGAATTGCGTAATATTTTGCACACTCATCGCCATATTCAGAACCAAACGCAAAGTTCTTCAAGATAACCACCATCCGTCGTCTGGCTCGCCGTGGCGGTGTCAAACGTATCTCCGGTCTGATCTACGAGGTGTGCTGAAGGTGTTCCTGGAAAATGAAGTCCGTGGTGCTGTCACCTACACTAAACACGCCATCAAGCTTACACCAGTAAAGAGTTGGAATAGAATTTATCTGTGCTTGTTTGTCCATATTCATACACAAGCCCCCAACGACCACACAAAATGCTCTCCAGAGTTGTAATCTTGTAACCAAACTTGGAAGCAGGGGTACAAGTGATTTTGATTGATTCTCTTAATCAACTTTCTCTTTGAAAAAGATTACTACAAATTTGGTACGCCTACAATTAAAAAACGGAAAGAGTTGAGATAATAGATAATTGATCAATTAAAAGAACTAAATGCTCTTCACATTTATTCCGTCCATTAGCGGTCCTACGTCAAGCTTCCGTTCGTGCCCCTAGGCACAGACCCTTCTACTTTTTACAAAGGACGGCCAATCCCTCGATGACGCCACCCGTGTGACATTGCTTCTTGACAAGCTAAGCACGCCTTTGCACGAGAAGTATGTCAACATCATTCTTCCCAAGTACCCCCGGGACCACACCCTGGACTAGACCGTCGCAATACTGAATAAATTTTTCGGTCGACAGAAGTCGGTTTTTCATTCCAGTATGCAAAAAGTGACGCGGATGATTTCACATCGTGAACAAACACTGTGAAGCGTTTGTGCTGTTCAAGCTCAAACCGGACCATTTCAGAGCTCTCCGTTTTGTCTGTGGACTCCGGGATGCGGACATACGAGCCAGATTGACTTCAACACGACTCAGCGTCCGACATCACCATTATCTCAGAAGAGACATGGATCAGCATCGGACAGCCACCCACTCAACCGACGGAAGAATCTGCAGTCACAGCTCCTGGTGGCAACCTCAACTTTCTCGCCAAGTTCCAGACTGAGATCACCATCGGAAATGTTACCAAGACTGGTCGATTTGTGGTCTGTGCCGATAAGCAGCTTGGTTAACGTCGTTCACCATCGTTCCGATCAGTTCATCACTGAACTCAAGTAACAGCTTCCAGAGGTATTCCGATGCACAAAAGCACAAGTGAAGCTGTACCTGAAGCCCGACTTACGTCCCATCTACTGCACGAAACGACCAGTAGCGAACGCTGCACTCCCCAAGGTGGACGCATAACTAGAAAGGCTCCAGAACAACGGTATCATTTCTCGAAAAATGTCGTTTCGCACTTTCCAAGATCGAGTTCCTCGGACACATCGTGCAACAACAGAAGCCATTTCGAAAATGCAGCCTCCGAAGGATGTCCAGCAACTCCGCTCCTACCTTGGTGCTGTCTACAACTATGGTAGATTCGTGAAGCAGATGAAGCAACTCATGGCTCCCCTGGACAACCTCCTCAAGAAGGATACACGCTGGAACTGGACCAAGGATGGCCAGAAATCTTTCGAGCAGTTCAAGAACATTCTACTTCCGACTGTTTACACATTACGACCCGTCTAAGCAGATCATTGTTGCAGCAGATGAAGTGAAGTGATGGCAATCGCTCATGCCTCTCGCTTACTGACCCCAGCAGCGATGACCTAAGAACAAGTGGAGAAGGAAGCATTGACCCTGATGTGCTCTGTCACTCGTTTCCACAAGATGCTGTATGGACGACACTTGCTCCTGCCAATCGATCATCAACCGTTGCTCACGGTTTTCGGCTCAAAGAAAGGTACCTGTTTACACAGCAACCGTACGAACTTTGGTTATGCAGATTTCCTGTCCCGGCTTATGCCATCGCATCATAGACCCGATGAGGATTACGTGATAGCCGCCGTCGAGTCGGAAGCCAAAGCAATTCTCAACGACACCATCAGCTATACTTTCCAGTCACGCACCAGATGATTGTGGCTGAGACGCGAAAGGATCCAGTTCTTCAGCAAGTGGTGAATTTCCTGAACGAAGGTCGGTCAGCATATGCGAGGCAGATTTCTGATCCGGATGTCAAGCAGTTTTTCGCCACACGAGATGGACTTCAAGTCATCGACAACGGTGTTTTGTTCGGCGATCGAATCGCGGTACCAACAAAGTTTCGCAAGCGGATCGTTTGTCAGTTGCATCGTGGACACCCAGACATGGACCGGATGAAGTCTTTGGTCCGTAGTTACATCTACTGGCCCAATTTTGACGACGATATCGCTGAAGCAGCCAAGTCCTGGACAAGGCATGGTGGGCCGAAATTGTAGTAGGCCCTTTAAGACTCTTGGACTGGACTAGGTTTTCAGGATACAGTTACTTTGAAGAACTATTGAGCGAATTTTAGATTATTTTTCCAAAGCAATTTTGAGCTTATTTTAGAATGAATTCAAGAGATAATGTATTTCCGATAATATGGGGATCTTTGTGATGAAATATAAGCGAGTTCTGACTAGAACTTCAAGTCAATTGTAAGAGTTCAGTGTATTTTTTTTTTTGAAAATTCCATGGCAGTTGTGAAGAGGATTCTACTATCCGTGAAAAATAGCAAGGGAATCGACTTTTGAGGGTACAATTCCGAAGACTGCCGTTCATATACTGGCGACAACGCTCTGATGATACAACAAAATCCCACTCCAAGCTCCTCCCCTGATCCTATCCTTCGACAATGTACCCCTCTAATCTCGGGTCAGCCGCTAGTATTCGGCCCAACTTCTACTATACCTAGAATTAAGTAAATTTAGTTACGAAACAATGAATTATCGGCTCCGTAAAGCTAACACGATTGACCCTTTCAAGTAAATGAACTGGATTTAACAAAAATTAAGCTTATTCCGAGGATAATTTCAAGCGCATCTCAAAATTAATTTCTAGATAATTTTAAGGGGAATTCCATGGCAATTTTCCGAAGAATTTAGTGGAAAACTCCAAGTAATTCTGAGGTGCATGGAATTTGTAAGGAGAAATCAATCAAATTTGAAGGAAGCTTCAGTGAATTCTTAGAAAAAGTTTAAAATTCGAAGAAACTAAGGATTAATTTCATGAATTTTTAGAGTCTGTTGAGAATTTCTGGACTCTTATAAAACAAATCAAGGGACTCCCAGAGAGAATCTCAAACTTATTTTAGAAGAATTCTGAAAAGAACTCTGAACGGAAATGATTTAAAAGGAAATGCTATAATTCTGAAAAGTTGTGAGCGAATTTTGATTGACTCAACTCCGACTTATCTTAATCCCCGAATCATACAATTCGTCTGAAACTTCCCGAAAAAGACGCGGACACCAATAAGAGCCTTCTGCAACCACTCCTAATGGGCATCTCACATTTCCTAGCTAGAACATCTGCCTCCAATAAAAACACATCAACCGAACGGAGCGAGGAGCAAAAAATCGTCTGCCAAACGCCGAACAGCCTACCATCAAGATTACTATCTACTTCCCTTAGGCTTAGGATGGGTCCGAATCGAAGAAAGAGAGCAGCGAACGAAATACCGAGCGAAAAAGGCAAGATGGCAGGTGGCCAACGGTGAAACACTGGGTTACTTCATATTCCCTTTCTGATTCTGATTCGTTCCGAAAAAAGATTCCAAAACCGCTGGCTGCTGATGATGATGATGATGATGACTCTCAAGGACGCGTGCGTGTGTCCCTGAACCGGGTTAATCCTTTCACTTGTAGTGGCTTCGATGGCTTTTATTCTGACAATGTCGGCGATGGTGGCCGGTAGAACGGTTGTCACACGTTCAGTTCAGTTGGAACATTACGCAATCGTCGCGAGAAATGACAGTCATGAAACAACGGCTCATTGTCTGGAATGGCTCGCGTGATCCGCGATCGCTTTAAGCACACGGATTATGAAACCGGCCGACTGTGTACCTGACAATTGACGGTCAGTTCTAAAACGAAGGGGTACACT